CTCCACTCCAGGAATAGAAGTTCGCTCAAAAACCAGAAAACAAAAGAAAGAAAAAACAAAAGAATATTGTATTTGTCGTAGATCTGCTCATGGTACAATGGTTAACTGTGATATCTGTAACGACTGGTAATTGGTTTTTCAATGATGATTAAATAAATTATTTATTTTTTTAAATATATTGTCCCTATTTTATTTTGATTTTTTATACTCTGTGTAATTGATTGCTACAGGTGTCATATTGAATGTGTGAATCTCACCGAACAACAGGCTGTAGAAATGGAAAAATACATTTGTCCTAAATGTTCAGAAAATCGTCCATATATTGATTTATTAAAAGGTATTTTCTGTTTATTTATGTATATATAGCATCATCTTTATTTTTCGCAAAATTCATCTTCGATTTATTTTTTTTTATGATTAATTGTATATAACGTTTATAATACATTGTTATCCTTTGTATAATGAAATATAAATCACTTTTCGCCACAAATATTATCAAACATCGTTATAATACGTTCATTATTTTGAAAAAAAGGGGTTTTTCTTTTTTTTGAATCGATCTAAAAATGGATGATTTTTTTAAAACAAACCCAATCCTTTATCATCATCATCATCATCATCACCATAAATGTAATCGTATTCAAATGGCTAATATAATATATATAAAAAAAAATTTTTTAAAAAAAAAATTGTATAGATGAATGCCCATTACCTGAACCTCTTGGTATTGATCCGAAGGCTTCAATGATTGTGAAACACACTAATGATGTAAAAATTTTATTTATTATTTTTGTTTTTGTTTTTGTTTTATTTAATAATTAAAATTAATAATTTTAAATTAGGAATCATTAAATTCGGAAACCAAATGTCTGAATAAGGAGTGTTCAAATTCTACGCAGAAAAATAATTCATATTGTGGTGGTGAAGTGTGTTATTTACAAAGTAAAAATTTAGATAGTAAAACATTTAAAGGAGTTGAATCACAGACACAAAAACCTGTATCATCACCTTTTGTTGTTACAAAAGAATCAAAAAAAGTACCAAGTCAGGTACACTCAAAGTTCACTCTTTCTTCTCCCCCCCCTTCTTCTAAAACTACTACAAATAAAGTTTTAAATGCTTCTATGAAATCACATTTAGTGACTAGTAGTAGTAAATTACAGTCAACTAATGTAAATGGTGTGCAAAGTATTGCTGGTGTTTCTGCTACTAATAATAATAATGGTAGCAGCAGTGGTGGTGCTAAGACTGCTATTGCTAAAAAGTCCGGTCAAGGTTCAATTAAAAAATTACAAATTCAAGCCAAAAAGCCAACAAATTCTTTATATGATTCCAATTTAAGAGCTTTATGTAATCTGAAATTTAAAGAAATATTTGTTAAAAAATATAAAGACTTGGATCAAAAAGATGACTTACCAAAATCTGACGACACGATTGATCAACTTGGTGGAAGACTTGCACAAAAACTTGAAGAAGCTATACATGATGCTTTTGCTACAAAAAATGATAAAGAACCATTAGGTCAACCTTATAAATCAAAATTTCGAAATCTTCATACAAGTTTAGGACATCCAAAAAATGATCGATTGTTGACAAATGTTGTTAAGGGTGATATCCCAATAGTGAAATTGGTACAAATGACCCCGGAAGAATTGGCTAATCCAGAACAAAAATCATTAATGGTAAAAGTTCGTAGGGAAAGCATGCAACAATCTGTTTTAAAAGCTGAAGATATGGGACCTAGAATTAAAAAAACTCATAAAGGTGAATACATTATTGTTGGAGACTTTTTAGATTCATCAAAAAATGACAGCTCATCAACATCATCACCACAGCAAGATAAAAATACACCGACACTAAAATCCACCAGTTCTATTAGTATTAGTCCAACTAGACCAAAAATCAATATAGAAGATTTAATTCCCAAAAGAAAAACAAGCTTAGGCAGTGATATTGTATCACCTGCTACTGCTACTTCTATCACTATTTCTCCCACTATCGCCATTAATAATTTTGCTGCTTTTAATAATAATGACTCATCAAAAGATGATACATCAATTTTAAAGTCTACAGAAAATATGGAAACAAAGGCCGCTGTAATTTATGATAAGGAAACTTCTCTTGCAAATTCCAATAATGGTAATAATAATAAAGAAATAAAGGCAACAGACAATTATGTAAATATTAAAAAAAAAACAGTGCCAATTGTATCAAACGCGATTATGAATTTACCACAACAAGTGATGGATTCGCCTCCATATTCACCTGGAGCTTTATCATCTTCTGTATCATCAT